TTCTTGGCCTCGTCTGTAATGTCGTGTGTCTCCAGATGGAACTCGAACCTGGACAGGTAGGAGTCCCAGTCTTCTGAGGAGGGTTCGAAGCACTCGAACTTCTGGCTTCCAGCCATCGTGGGAGACTTGGGCACCGGAGCTGGTGGCGCCTCCGCCGGATCGGCTGCTGTGCTCTGCTCGCTTTCTTCCGAGTCCGAAGTGTGGATGTCCGCAGGGCTGCCTACCTGCTCTAACATCCCACCTTCGTCGCCAATTGTTAGATCGCGCTAACAAAGGACTCTTAGAGTGATTCAGCAAGTGATTCAGCTTTATTGGAAGTAACGAGCAAGCACTAACTCAGTAAGAAACCAGAACAGAAAACAGTGGGAGCTTATGCTCCTTTTAAACATAACCGGGCTAATGTAGCCACGCCTATTTACAAATAACAACCAATGAGATTGCTAGAATAAAGACCAATGGGAGTCTTTCCCTCCTAGGGAACGGTACCGTTCTGATTGGTCGCTGTTACGAAGCGACCAGTAGGAAGTTCGCTGAGAGGAGCCCTGGTCTGGCTCGAAGCTTAACATGGGAGTCCTATGAGGTGATTCCTGTAATCATTTCAATACATTACAGGAGGGATCTGTGGGAAAGCAGAACGAGATCATACATGTTGGATCTTTTAAAAAACTGTTTTTGAACACTGCGTTTTTGAACACAGGGCATAAAAAGCATGGTAAACAGTTTTTTGAATCAGCTGCATTGGTCACAATTGGTGAACTGACTGCAGTCTAAACTGGTGAGTGATGGAGATTCCAGGCTTCAGACTGTTCACGTTTTTAATACTCTCATATATTAAAAACTCCCTGCAAATAATAATTTAAAAAATCAGTGCATTAGGGCATGATCTGGTCCATGGGGTCGCGAAGAGTCGGACTCGACTGTGCGACTGAACAACAAAAATTCCAGCCTAGTCCTTTGCAATCTGGTGTGTTACACTTACAGGAATTACTAATGTAGAGGAACATTAAAACTATTATCTCTGAGCTACAGACTGAAGTGGTACAGTCCATTCTACCATCTCAACACTTTGCCATCTCATTCTAGTGTGTGTGTGTGTGTGCGTGCGTGCATGTGCGTGTGTATGTGTGCATGCATGTGTGTGCATGTGTGCATGTTATTCAGACTTAAATCAAGGAAGACAGAAGGCAGAGAGAATGAAGGGGATGTGGGAAAGATCCTAAACGAGCACAACAATTGCTTGGTCATACTATAACCCTACATCAAATAATTATCCCGAAAGGATTGACAAGTATATTTATACTATATACAGCTGACTGAGGGCAGGATCCAGAGTAATTTTTTTCACCAATGGAAGGCATTTTTGTCAGAGGATCACAATCCCCACACACACACTGCAGCCCACTGATCTCCCCAAATGCTGCTCCAGGAGGGGGGCAGGGAACCTTGAGGCAGGCCCGTAGCCTGCGTGGGGCCCTGGGGGCCGGGCCTCCCCGTGGATTTTGCGGCCGCCCTCCCCCATCCTCTGCTCCCCCCGCCGCCTCGCGGAAAGGAGGGAGGGAGAGGCGGCCGTTAGGCTGGCCTGCCTGGAAGAGAGCAACGCGAGGATGTCCTTGGGGGGGAGACCCGCGGTCGGAACCCCAGGGTGGCAGCGGCGGCAGTCCAGGAGCCCTCCCTCCCTCCCAGCCAGACCCCGCTGAGGGCAGGCGGGCGGTGCTTTTAAGCCTTCAGTCCCGGGGAGAAGAGCCGGCCGCGCAGGGAGTCGCCGGCCTCGTCGTGCTTGTCCCTCCCCAGAGTCAGGCGAGGCTGCGTGGCGCAGCGGCCTCCTCTCGTGCACCCAGCACCCTTCCAAGGCCCCCCCCGGCGCCGGGCCTGCGGGCGCCCCTTCTCCCTCTCGCTCTCCCCCGCAGTGCCGCAGGTGTGGAAGGGCTGCCTGCAGCGGCGGCTCACCCAGCAAACCCGGCAGCAGGAGATGGTCTTCATCGGCATGGTAAGGGCCAGGTGCCGGGTCCTCCGCGCCCGCCTACGCCGCCCTCTCCCGACGGCAGGGCCCGCCGCTCTGCCTTAGGCAGCAGCCGCCGGCGTCTCTGTTGCGTCCCTCTTCGCCCCCACCCCCGGAATGAAGCACGCCTGAGGCTCGCAGCCCTCCTCTCGGCACTTCCGCCACGGGCGGCGGGGAGCCAGCGGGGAGCCAGTGGGCGGCTCGGCACAGCGGAGGTCTTCTTCTCTCCCTCCGGGACGGGAGGCGAAGCGGGGCGAGGGAGTGCTGTTCGCGGGCATTCCGGCCGTTGGGGGTGGGGACATGTCCCCCTCCACTCCCCCCCGCGTGTTGTTGCTGCCGCCACCCCCGACAGTCTCCCTCCCTCCCGGGGTTATGTGTGTGCGGCGAGCGCACACACATTTTGGCCCCCCCTTTTTCTACAGGGGCCCCCCACAAGAAAGGGTTTAGCTACGGCCCTGCCTTGAAGAGTGGCATAAGGGGTAAATTAGAGGTTTCCAGCAGGAGGGGGGGATTTGAATTTACACTTCTACTTCCATGAGTGGAAAATTTAAGTCTGGATCCAAACCTGATGTAGGCATTTGCTCACCTCTCTCAGCGGGTGGAGGAGAAAGAATGAGATAAAGAATGACCATTTCAAAAGCGGGGGGGGGGGTTGTTTTCATTCTGTTATGGTTCCAAAGTGAAACAGTGCTACGGACTGGTAATTTTTTTTAAAGGAGCAAGTGACAAGGTCAACAAGGAGTCATGAGTGAATGAAAGGGACAGACCTGGCACTGAGTAGGGCAGGGGGGCCAGGCAGCCCTGACTGCTCTTGTCAGAGAGAAGCCTAGACTGCTCAGCTGACTGTAGAAAAGAGGGCAGTCCCTCTGGCTGGCCACTGGCAGGCCAGGTCCCAGTGTGTGAAACATGGAGCTTGACTTCTGTGGTAAGGGAGGAGGAAGGTAATGACTGGCTGTAGGTGTTTGTGGGGCAGCTTGTGGTGGTGGGGAGCCATCAGGAAATGATAAATTTCATCAGCTTTCCCTGCTGGCAGCATCAGCAAATTCCGTGTGGTTCTCTTCTGCCATTGTTCACAGACAGAAAATAGGCAGTGTTCATTCACACCTCTGGCTCCCACCAGATTGGTGTGTTTGGTTTAGTGGTTAAGTGCACGGACTCTAATCTGGGAGAACCGGGTTTGATTCCCCACTCCTTCAATTGCAGCTGCTGGATGACCTTGGGCAAGCCATAGTTCTGTCAGAGCTTTTCTCTCAAGGACAGTTCTGGAAAGAGCTCTCTCAGCCGCACCGACCTCACAGGGTGTCTGTTGTGGAGAAGAGAAGGGAAAGGAGTTTGTAGGCCGCTCTGAGACTCTGAGTGAAGGGTGGGGTATAAATCCAGTCTTCGCCTCCTCCTCCTCCTCCTCCTCTTCTTCGTCTTTATGCAGAGAAGCATATTTCTGCCTGTGCATCACTTGCTATGGCTGGATTTCATCACATTTAAATGTGTCACTATGTGTGGATGTTCCTACACAGTAATGTTGTTTATAGACAAAGATATTATGTACCATCCTGATTAGGGTGGGGTGTCTTTGTTCGTTTAGAGAATTTTTATCTCTGCTCTCTAGAACCTGCTTGACAGGGCTCAGAACTAAAATGACAAAACCAAACTAGCCAATAAAGCAAGTCAATAAAAACATGGTAGTGCATTAAAAGCATGGTCTCTTGGATCTCTTGGTCTTGGACAAAATCACCTACTAGCTCAAAATGATCAATGATCCATTTTACATAACCAGTTTCAAAAATAGATGGCTACCCTTTTTACTTTATTTCAAGTAATCTAATTATGCATCAGCTACCCTTTTTTTGAATCAGCAAATCCATAAAAGGCCTTTCAAATACAGCTCCACCTTTCTTTATCAAGTAGTCAGATCAAGAGTATTTTAAATATTTCACCGATTGAGTACCCAAATTCTATATGATGTGACTACATAAATGTTCTCTGATCCAAGTGTGCCTAGTTTGGAACACCAGTGGTTATTGTTATAGTTATAATGGGTCCTTCCTTCATCAGTAATTAGCTCTTCTATTCATTTTTTTTAATAATGTGACATTCCTGTTACTATTGTTATGTATAAATATTGCCCATAAGTATTTTTTTTAATGCAGCCTAAAATGGTACCAATAAAGCAGGAGCAAAGCAGGCCCTTAAACAGCTTAAAAAGACAAACAATTTAAATATCCTGATCTGGATGGGTTTCCAAGCCTTAGAGAATAACAGGATCTTGGTCTTCTTAGAATTGATGGATGATTCGTTCTGGGAGCAGAAATCAGAGAAAGCTGAAAGCAATCAAATCTTGGTGATGGATAGGAGAACGGTGTCATTTGCATACAGCAGGAGGGGAACTGGAAGTGTATTCATCTTGGGTGCATGATCTTCAAATCTGGTTAAATGTTCTGGTAGGTCAGACATGAATAGATTAAAGAGAGCAGGTGCAAGAAGGCATCCCTGTTTTACTCCTTTTGTAACAGGGATCTTTTCAGTCAGGTGGCCTTTATGGTTTAGACGTAATTGACAAGTATCAGAACAGTGAAGTTTACAAATCAGAAATCGGAGTCATAGATCCATTTCCATATTGGCTAGTTTGTTCCATAAAACAGATCTATTGATAGAATCAAATGTTCCACATAAATCTATGAAGGCTGCATACAATTTCCCATTTAAATGCAGGGTATATTTCTCGGCCAGAAAAGCAAGCGTGAGCAAATGCTCGTAAGTAGAATGTTCAGATCAGAAACCTACTTGTTCTTTGGCCAGAAGATTATTATTCGGCATCCAATCAGAAAGATGATTCAGAAGGTGTTTGGAATATAATTTCCCTAGTACTGAAAGTTTACTTGAGAAAGTAATCAAATAAAGATATTATTTGGCATGACATTGTTTATGGTTCAGATGTGTTGTTGTTCAGAAATTAACTTTATAAGGCACATGTCACATGATGACATTTTTGACTGTCCAACAGTTAGAAGTTCAGTCTCCTCCTGGGACCACAGTTGGCTACGTGATACAAAAATGGGACCCTCTTCTGCCAAAATTCACTATCAGGAATGAGAACAATGAAGATGTGCTGAAGATCATAGGCCCCTATGCAACATGTGGTTGCTTTGGAGATGTTGATTTTGAGGTACTTTTGACATGCTATTTTGAACAATTTTATCACTATCTGTAGAGTTCTGTTCCATTGCCTCCATAAACAGCAACTGCAAGATGGGGATATGGAAGTTACACCCAGTTCCTATGAGGCACAACCCATGCCATATATACACATACCACATGACCAGAATTGTCAGCTCTAACTGTTCCATTCACCTGATGGTAGAGATTAGTGGACATCCCCTTTTTTCTGTGTTTTCCCCCAATGGTTTTGTTTCTTCGTTTTTTCACAGTTGGATGTGTAGATTTATTTGTACCGTAAACAGAAATGGTATGTTTATTTAATATACAAAGTATACAGTTTCCATACATGCAACCCACACACAGACATGCTATTTATATGAATATATATTATTATGCTAATTGACTGAAACAAAATGATTTTGAAAACAAATGTACCCTGTGCCCATGATGGAAGAGCCCCACTGACTTGTGAGCCCCTGCTCTATTTGGCCCTCTGAGGCATCTAGGCACCTGAGTCCCCACCCAGCAACAACGCTGCTCCCCCAACCTCCCTGACACTCAGAGGAGGTTTCTTTTCCTCCTTCAATATCACATTCTAATGCAATTCCTGGGCAATTAGCTCTCTTCCTCCGGTCCCTGATTTGAATATAATGTTCAAATAGTGGAGGTCTATGTGGTATGGAGAACAAGTACCAGCATTCAAAACAGTAAAGAATTTATTAAAAGTAAAATGTCCACACACATACTCTAACCACAGCAAGAAACTGAGTAAGGAATACAAAAGAAAAGTATAAATAAGCAACCCCTCTGCCCTTCACTAAGTACATGCCCTAGATGATGTCATTCTAAGGAAAGCTCTTTAAATGACAGAATTCTAAAAGATTCTCATTACCTTGTCCAGGGGTCATTTCGTAAAAAAAGAGCTAGGGGGACTCATTAGCATAACTCATTAGCATATGCCACACCCCCTGACATCACTGGAAGTGTGTCCTCCCCACAGCTGGCGGCGACCTCCAGCGGGCACCAGCAGGGAGCTCCAGCCCCGCCCTCCCGCACCTCACCCCGGGGGGATGGCGTCCCCCCACGTCCCCCCCAAATGACCCCTGACCTTGTCGTCTTTGTCCAGGCAGCCAGCCCTCTGTCTACTCCACATGGCAGTGGTGGCCTTCAGGTGGAAATCAGGTGTGAGAGCTTTCCCCAGCATGGACCACCCAAAAGGGACCCCTCTTCCCCTATGCCAAAAGACTGCATTATCAATCTTTGCTCATCACCTGTGGGTCAAAGAATCCTTTCCTGAAACCTCCAGGAAAATACAGTCTCGCCCCTTGCACCCCCAAGTCTCTGTGTCCTTTCTAGGTATCAGATTCCCAGTTAAGGTGTGAGATCATCACCATTTCAGTGTCTCCAGCCAGAAAGGCCATTAGCATTTTCAAAGCTTTGATGGTTGGTACTTGGGTGAGGCTTGGAAGCAACTGATCCCCCCCCCCTTTCCTGCTTGTTTTCAGCTAGGAGAGAAAAAACTTTCAAAACTCAATGTGGAGATTTCACCAAGCTCAACCCCCCCCCCCCAATCAAAGGCATTTCTCCACAATGCAGGGGAAATTGGCTGAAAGAAAACAGAAAATGGTACAAAAATGAAAGTTTGTGTTGCACAAGGGAAAAACAAAAACGAGATGGGATCTGGGATTACGACAGGAGGGATGGGAAATCTGGAAGCACCACTACCTATTAGGTGGCAAATAGCACCAAGCTAACTTTAGACACAGCCCTTTCACCCCTTTTCTCACCAGCACACTGCCTAAAAGCTACTATCAGGTTTTACATTGCAGGCCAGCCTTCATGGGAACTCTGATTGCACGCTGAAAGTTTGGTTTAGCAACTCTTGCTGAAGTCATGTGCAGAAATAACTTGGAAAAGTGATAACTTGGAAAACTGAAATTGAAGAACATGCATTTTCCCAAGTCAGACTGTGAGATTTAGAACACACACAGTGGCCCTGATGATATCACAGGCAATATTGTGGGGTTTCCAAGTGCCCTTATTATGAGGTTCCCAATACCCACCCAAGATCCTCCAAACTCCCTTTACCTAGCTATGACTATGGTAGTGACTCTTCCTTCCCCTTTCTCTGGTGCCTTGAACATTTCCTGAACAATGTCCCAAATGGAAGGAAGACTGGGTGATGTAGCTTTCCAGGGTACCTTATAACCAGGATGTCAAGCACTGTGGGATAATGATACTGCCCAGAAGCATCTTTCATAATTCAGACTCTGCCATAACAGAGTTCAGTGTTCTGGAGAGAGGCCAGACCTCATGTCAGTGGCACAGCAACAGCTACAGTTGTTGCATCTGCCAGGTAAGTGGACTCAATTACAGTCTGAGAAAAAGAACTCTGGGAGTTCACCTGGTCACCTCAAATCAGGGGCAAGAATTACAGGCTGCCATCACTTCTATTTTGTACAAGGACATTATGAATGTCAGTGTCTTTTTCACTGTTTGCAATCCATTTATTTTGTGTGTTTAGAAATTGTGTCTAATTCTATTATATTTACTGATCTGTGTTAAAATCCCAGATGACTGTGGTAAAATCCCAGATGACAGAATGATGAAACGCAGAGTAGCAATTTTTTTCTTCAGAAATCTGAAGAGTCCAAATACAAATTGTAATAATCGGGACAATCATATTAAAATGTTGCTAGACTTTTGTTTTCAGCCTCAATGCTCACTTTGTATTAATTACAGCACAGTCTCGTGCATACTCAGAAGTAAGCAGACATACATGTGGTTAAGATTCTACAATCCTGGAGCAATCCACAGACCCTTAGAAACCCCAACAGCAGTGGCATTGGGGAAAGTAAGACAAAGCTGGTGATATGGGGAAGAGGGGATAATGAGATTTTTCCTCTCCTGCAGATCTCATTGCCTTTGTTTTAATCACATTTATTCGGATTTCCAAGTATTTATTTATTTATGGGATTTTTATTCCGCCCTCCCCAAACGGGCTCAGGGTGGATCACAACAAATCACAACAAGACTCATTACAATAAAAGCACATTAAAATTTGGTGTAGTGGTTAAGTGTGCGGACTCTAATCTGGGAGAACCAGGTTTGATTCCCCACTCCTCCACTTGCAACTGGCTGGATTACCTTGGGCAAGCCGTAGCTCTGATACGAGCTGTTCTTGAAAAAAGAGCAGTTTCTGTCAGAGCTCTCTCAGCCCCACCTACCTCACAGGGTGTCTGTTGTGGGGAGGGGAAGGGAAAGGAGGTTGTAAGCGGCTCTGAGACACCTTTGGGTAGTGAAGGGCGGGCTATAAACCCAATCTCTTCTCCTCTCTTCTTCTAAAATAATAAAAACAATAAACAATAAGATTGGTAGCCACAAGGTGGAATCAGTTGAGCCCTTTCAGCAAGTTGGGAACTAAAGGAGGGAGGCCGACTGAGGTGGACGCCCACCACCTCAACTGGAGGCCTGGTGGAACAGCCCTGTTTTGCAGAATGATAAAAGGTCCCACAGGGCCCTGATCTCCAGTGGGAGCTGATTCCACCAGGCCGGGGCCAGGGCAGAAAAAACTCTGGCCTGGTCGAAGCTAAACAGATGTCCTTTGGGCTGGGGGTAACCAGTAAATGTTGGTCCTGTGAGCGCAAGGCTCTTTGTGGAATGTTTGCAATGTATACTTTCCTATCCCCCCACCCCCCATTCTGCAGGTAAAATCTCTAAATGAGATGGCTACAATTGGCAAGATTTCCAAGTATTGGTCTGGTTTTGTCAATAACATCTTTACCAATACGGCCAACTTTGGTATCCAGGTTCCTGTGGATCTGGATGTAAAAATCAAAGCAGTAATGATTGGTGCTTGCTTCCTCATAGTAAGTATATTCACGTTTTTAAAAAACCATTCATAGGAACATAACAGCCTGCTGGATTAGACCAGTGGTCCATTTAGTCCAGCATAATATTTCACACAGCAGCCAACCAGTTTCCCCAGAGGCCAAACAAACAGGGCATAGATGTTAGGGCCCTCCCCTGCTGCTGCTGCCTCCCAGCACTGGCATCCAGAGGTTTGCTGCCTCTGTCAATTGAGACTCCCTTCATGAATCTTTCTAACCCCTTTTTGAAACTATCTATGCGTCTGGTCATTACTACTGGAAGTGAATTCCAGAGTATAATTGCTCACTGAGTAAACGTATTTCCTTCTGTCTGTCCTGAACCTATTTCCCATCAGCTTTATTGGGAGCTCCCAAATTCTTGTACTATGGGAAGGGAGAAAAGGCTCCCTCTATCCCCCTTCTGCACTCCAGACATCTTGTCCTTTATCTAGCTCTGCAGACATCTATATATCTAATAGCCAAGTTGCCCCCTCCGTGCGGATCGCTAAATCAGCACGGAGGGGGCAGCTGGGGGGCCGGGGGAGGTTTGTGCACACGTGGGCCAGTCCCCACGTGTGCACAAAAATACAAAAAGTTTAAAAAAATTTCGGGGGGATGTTTAAATCCCCCCGAAAGTGCAAGACCGTCTCCTGCGCATGCGCAGGAGACGCTCTGCAACGCCGCC